TGTCATTAAACACATTTGAATCCATCCTTGAGGAAGTGTGTTAAGTTTCAGGTCAAATTAGTGTATATGATGTCAAAGTAGTGATCTCTCAATGTATACATTGGGGGAAATTGAATTAATGTGTGATGATGGCAAACCTAAGACAAAGAAAATAATCCATAATGAAGAAACAAAGCCTCAACCTAGTGGGAAAACATTCCACAGCAAATGTCTTACTTTCTCAAAATGCTGTATCCAACAATTAACAATGACAAAGCAAAATGAATGACATTCATGATATGATTAATTTGGATTTATCACATCTAAATATATCCACACCATTTCTCTGCAATTTTTTGAGCTTAAATTTTGAGTTTGTTTCATTAAGACCATAGAGCTAATGATGTTAGTTCTTGCCCTTCCATTGCACACACCACTCACTTTGATAGAAATTGGTTCAAGGTAGTGGACCATAAAGCAAAATATAGCTTACTGATCCCAGCATGGGGACTTATGTGCAGACAGCATTTTTAATAGTATTGCTGTTCTAAAAAGTGGAGCTGATCAGCTGAGTGCATGTATGGCTGTATGGGTTATATACCTGTTACTTTATATATATATATATATATATGTGTGTGTGTGTGTGTGTGTGTATGTATGTATATGGGGTAACATTGGTTTATATGGCTGTATATGTTTCAGAGGAGTAGGTTCCTACTCCCCAGATGTACATCATCACACCCCACCTTTACCAGAGCACACTTATCCCTTGATAAAAATGAACAGAGATATAACAGATAACAAAAAATGAACAGAGATATAGCAGATAAATTGTCTTACCAGATTTTACTTAGTGTTAGTGCAAAAAATAACTAATTAATGCAAGTGTTGCAATCATCTTTATGACATTTCCCAAAGATGGCACTTTAAGGGTTATGCCATATGCTGATTGACAGCAGCCATAATTCCATACAATGAGACTGTATCATATTGTTTGATGTGAGGTGATAGTCATCTCTTGAAACTGATCAAACATACGATTGCATCAAACAGTATTACAATATAATCACACTGTATGTGGGGACTGCCACGGTTGATCATCATGTTGTACTATTTTCCCTTGGACTTTTCTAATAGCACTTGTGACACACCACTGCATCCACATTTTCCTTTAAGAATTGCAGAGTCTGAGACAGAGAAAAAATCTGCATAAATTTGTGGTTTGGTTATGCTGTGTGAGTGTACATTTGTAGACTGCTTTAGAATTACAAATTTGCTCCCACTAAGATCTCCCCAAGTACACAAATAAAACCCTCACTACTAAGGCCAAGATAAAAAGAGAAAATTCTGAACAGGACAGAAACTAATTCAAATGACCTTTGTTTTTCTTCAATAAGCAAGCAAACTTGCAAGCGATGTCTTTTTTAAAACACTTTTCAGTATCTAAAACTCCCAATGATATTTTTTTCTAATGTACTGTTTTGCAAAACCACTTGCTTATCTACTGAACTTGGAACTATTCCAGCTGCAGATGGAAATGATATAAGAAAGTATTCTTCCACCTTTTGTTGTTGCTGATCTTAAAAAGCAGTGTGGAGGTGGGCAGGATGAATGGGTGTACTTTAGCTAACTTGTAGTGGCATTCCCAGGTAAAGTCCTGCAACAGAAGCTTTTAGAGTTAAGCAATTTAGGTATTTTCTTTTGTCATCCATCCATCCATTCATCCATCCATCCATCCATCCATCCACCCACCCAATAATTTATAAAAGAGCACTAGGAATTAGTTTGGGGACTATGTTCAGCTTACAAAGAAATAAGGTGCTGGATGGGCATATCATCTATTCATGGTGAGATTCACTGAGGGATATGTTGTCAACTCTGGTCCATCTGGTTGATCCATGCAGGCCTCTAACATGACACTATTTCATCTGGACTTTATTCAGTCATCTAACTCCTCTTAACCTGCTAAGCTAATCATCTTCAGCTTTTTTGGCCTATAGAGGTTCTGCGGCTCTTTCCAAGACTCATTGGGACGTCAGAAACATTGAATCTTTCATAGACTGGTTACCTAAACCCTACGCACAGCCATCTCTCTTCTACAGCTCCTGTGCTATGATGGGCACTGGGAATCTGATACCTCCTTTGGTCCTCCCAAGATACATGACCAGATAACTCTCTGCTCCCAGAGTCTCCTAACCATAGGCCTGCTCCCAGCTCAGCTATGGGAGAATCAGGGCCAAAATCCCTTTACAGAGACCCCACCATAACTTAAGCTCTGTGCCTTTCTTATGATCATTTTATTCTTTTTTTCTTCAGCCAGTGGGAGTTTCATTTTAATATGCAGCGAGAAACACTGGCTTTTCATTTATTTTTCTCCAGTCTTTGTGAAATCAGTGTCATGCTTTGAGATCTTTCAGGCCTTTTTATTGATTCACAATGTCCACAGTTTTGAAATTCAAAATATAAGGACTAACTTTTCCTCTCTCTTTCTGCAAGAACACCCACCACCTGAGCAAGTAAGGAAGAAAGTTCTATCTGCTGTCCACAGGTGGAGAAAGGTCACAATCTCTCCTTTCTCTTGTTTCTTTGTCTTCCACTTCAGTAATTTCATTATTGGTCTCTCCATTGACACAATTAGTGGTGAATTTGATCTTTTAATTTACTGTTCCCCCTATTTTTTTTTTTAGATTTATTTTTATTTATTTACCCATACAAGAGCTGGGGTACAGGCAGGAGTTGCTGGGGGTGAAATGATTCACCAGCGACATAGTGGGGAGTAAAACAGGATGATCTACTGAAATACACTGCTGAGGGGAGCAGGAGAGGTCTGCTGAGCCATGTGGGTTAGCTCCCTGGCCAGGGATCCAACTCGGGCTGCAGTAGTGACAGCACTGAGATGCCCTACGCCACCTGGGAAACCCCATTTTCTCCCTATTTTCTTAAAGGCTCATCGATTGAGGTGTTGTTTTTTTTTTTTTTCGTAGTTTTATTTAATAGTACAATTGACTTATTAGCTTTTTCTTGTTTTTCCATTATAAATTGTGAAGGCTATATGTTTACTTCTAAGTACTACTTAATCTACATCACAGTTTTAAAATTTTACTATTGGTTTATTTATTTTAAATTTTGAAACAACAAAATATTTGTAAAAATGGTAGACATGGGGCCTCCCGGGTGGCACAGCGGTTGGGCGCTGGGTTGCGAAGCTGCCTGCAGCCTCTGCAGCGCCGGTTCGATCCCCGGCTGCTCTCCGGCCACCGGAGGAGGGTCCCACATGGAGCGCTGCCCGCTGCTCCCCTCAGCAGTGTGCTTCGTCAGTCTGCCTGCTCTGCTCTCCACTCTGGCTCTGGTGAATTCTCTCACCCTCCCGTGCTTCTGACTGTACCCAGTGCTTGTATAAATAAATAAATAAAAATCTTTAATTTAAAAAAAAAAGGTAGACATGCAGTACAAATGACTTATTTTTCCTGGATACCTGTAAATTGCTGAGCTGATGGTCTAGTAGCTGTTCCCATTTTAATATGTGTCTTTTAGAAATAAAAACATCTCCATAATTATAATACAACCATAAAATCAGGAAATGAAATTCGATTCATTCCTGCCTTAGTCCACAGAATATATTCCAGTTTCACCAATTGATGCAACCGTGTTTTTAATATAATAGGAGGATCCCACTGTACTTTATTGTCTGATCTTCTTAGTCTCCTTCAGTCTGGAATATTCTTTTGCTCTTGACTTTTCCTCTTTCAACAACTTTGGAGTTTTTGAAAACGAGTGTAGTTATTAAGCAGAATTTCCCTCAGTTTAAGTGCTATGACTTTGATGTTTTCTTGTTATTAGATTCAGATTACAGTATCCTAGAAGTAATGTTGCTTTCCACCAGGTCATGTAAATTTCAATAAATGATTTTTGCTTCAATCACTTGATAAAAGTGATATTTTCTAGACTTTTCCACCACACAGTTAATTTTTCTTCCTTTGTGGGGAGGTACTTTTCACCATGTAAATATTCTGCTCAAATTCCTTCATTCCTTCACTCATTTATGTCAGTATGTTTCTGGGTTTCTTGTTTTACTTAATATCATAAGTATTTTCAGTTATATATTTGATATGATATTCATATCTATATTAATTTTGATACTCAAATTATGGCCAATGTAGCCAATAAGAGTCCATTTAAACTGACTTATAGGTTGGTCCTTTTGCTGTATTGCCACCATTTTCTTGGTTTTAAGCACATATTCCAGGTTTTTCTTACACTTTTTTCCCCTCTAGCTCAAGATTAAATCATTTCTCTAAGTCCTATTTTCTTTCACAGTAAAGTGGTATTCAGAAATCAACATCTGGTTGCTGTATGTGTTCATTATTATTGGAATAGTGCTACTTCCAGGTCATATTAGGAAACAGAACCAGAAAGTAGATGTATTTGTGTACCATATATTAATACTTAAATTGATTTCTCTGTCTGTCTGTCTATCTCTTGACCCCTACCTATTTCTCTATCTTGAAAACTATTAGTTTATGCTAATACCTCTAATTTCACTTGTTCATCTGCTCTCTCCCTCTGCATATAATTCCATCTTTTTTTTTTTAAAAGATTTATTTATTTATGCATACAAGAGCTAGGGTACAGGCCAGAGGTATGGGGGGTGAGAGGATTCACCAGAGACAGAGTGGGGAACAGAACAGGCAGAATGACTGAAATACACTGCTGAGGGGAGCAGTGGGCAAGACAGGAGAGGTCTGCCGTGCCATGTGTGTAGCTCCCTGGCTGGGGATTCAACTCATGCTGCAGTGGCTGCATATAGCTTCATAGATTGCTTCTTTACCCCTTGCGCCACCAGGGAGACCCTGCATATACTCCATTTTCTAATAGTGAGAAGCTGAGACTGCATAATTCTTCACATATTTAGTTCTATAATCATCCTCATTTCTTGCAACCAACCTCTCATTCTTACTATAAAGCCTTCTCTCTTGCACATGCTCTCCTTTCTCTGCTTGGGCTTTGCCTCAAGAGAGTGACTACTTTTCACCCTCTTCAGACTGGTTCCTGGTGCTAAGAGGCAGCCCTCTTCGCATAGACGTTCTCACCCTCCTTGGCTGGCTCTGACAGCCTCCTCTGTCCACTGCATTTCCTCCTTCCTGCTCTGTCTCACCTAATAGCTTTAGAACTGAATTATTCAGGAAGGGGAAGAAGTATCACTCAAGTGTTACCATGTAATGTTTTCATTATCCTTCAATTCTTGAACTCAGAAATTAGTTTAGGTGTATTTTTCATTTTCAAATGTATTGAGGATTTTTTTTAACTGCTCATTTCTAATTTAATGACATAGCATCCAACTGTATTTTCTCTTTTCCAAATTAGTCATATTGAGATAAATTCTGGTTTGTTGAAATTTTTGAAGCCCAGTTATCGCTGAATTCTCCAGATTTGCTCATGAAGATATTGTATTCTCAAATTTTGGGGTTTGAACTTTCAATATCTTTCAGTCATGCTGTTATAGGGCAGCCCCAATATTGAACGGGTTCCTGGCTGTGGGTCCTCACCCGCGCGCTTTAAAGGGACTTATTAATACTCACTACAGGCACACATAAAAGGTTAATAAAAGGTTTATTTACAAGGGAAAAGGAAATAAGGAAAATGTACAACTCAGGGAGAAAATAGGGAAATAAAGTCTTTAATGCGTCCTACCCGATCCACTGACCTGAAAACCCAAAGGCACTCTCAGAGCTGGCCGGATGCTGCGAGCTGGTGGAGAGCCAAAATGGGGGACCGCTCCAAAGCCCACGTGTCTGGCTTTATACCAACCTGGCTGCTTAACCCCACCCTCAGGTCCCAGCCACCTTCCCTTTGGTGGTGATGGGATTTGGAGTTCCCATTGTCTTTGGCTTTGGCCTGGGGTGGGGGTGGAGTCCAGAAGCCTGTATGGAATTAGCTTTAGGACATCCTTTCCCCCCTAACAATATCAAGGTTGTAATTTGTGTTGTCTAAATATTCTTACTAAAATTTTGCCTGCCTGATGTATCAAATACTGAGATAAAAAAGCTTTTTTTAAAAATAATCCATGATGATTGTAGATTTGTCTATTTTCCCCCTACAATTTGGCCAATTTCTGCTTCATATATTTCGAATATATATTATTAGGTGAATACAAGTTCAGAATTGTCTTATTATTTATGTGACTTGTTCCTTTTATCATTATTAGCCATAGATACTCCTATAATGTTTCAGTAATGGTTTTTTGAACTTAAAGTCTATTTTTCTTATATTAATAGAGGAGCACCTACTTTTTAAATTTTTTCAGTGAGATAGTTAGTATTTGCCTTGCATTTCTTTTCCTACAACTTTGTTTCCAAACTTTTTATAACTTAAGGTTTGGAAGCATTTCCAGTAGAAATCATTTATTAAATTTATAAAATTCAATCTTTTAATATCTTTTTTTAGTCAGCAATTTTAGACTGCTTATATTTATTATATGTCTTGTATATTTACTCTTATTTCCATCATTATATTTTGTGCTTCTTTTACTATCCTTCTGCTTTCCTCCTTACTGTCTCCTTTTTGGGTCAATGAACTTTGTTAATTCTTTTAATCTGTCCATCTTTGAAAATAAGGTGTTTTATTTCTATTCTTTTACCTGAATCTGTAAGGCCTAAGATTAACAAATATGTTTACTCTTCTTTTAGACAGTATAAGAATGTAATGACACTTAAAATCTAATTACTTTCCACCTGTCTTGTGTGCTATTGATTTCCAGACTTACATAAGTGCTCTGTTTTTTAAAAAATTGATTATTCATTTTTTCCTAAATGTCTTATAACATGTTCACACATGCAAAAGGAAATAAAGACTTATAGAATCATAACCTCTGTCTATGACTTAAAAAAAAATTCAGAGTTCAATTACCCTATATAGTCCTCCGTCCCTTGGAAATAATTACTGTAAAGTCAAGAAATGTTCCATCTTTCCTTTTCATGACCCCAAATGGTTATTTTTATTATTTTACTCAGAAATGCTTATTTAGGTTTGTCTACATACCATTTTATTTTGTCACTATTGCTCTTAAGAATAACCCTGTTTGAGTTCAGTTTCTTTCTCTGAAGAACTTTCTCATTTGGATTTTTTTTTTTTTTTGAAGTAAATGTAATTCTCAAGATTTTATTTGTAATAAAAGATGAAGCTTTGAACTGGATCACCTGGCCCTTTCTCTTCTTATCTCCTCCCACTTCAAAATGCTTGCATCTCTTAATAGCCAACATTCTCTTAGATCTGCAGTGGGGCTCAACACATTCAAGTCTCAGCACAATCTTCTTTGTAGTTTTAGCCTTTTTCTGGAAAATTGGCTTAGTCTGTCCACCATAGCCAATCTGCTTCCTGTCATACCCCCGCTTTCCCTGGGCATAGAGAGAATCCTTGCCCTTCTTGTACTGTGTCACTTTGTGGGGCTGATGCTTGCCACACTTCTTACAGAAGGTCCTTCGGGTTTTAGGAACGTTCACCATGCTTGCGAGAGCGCTATCGGCACGGAAAGAAAGTCACTTGGATTTTTAAGCAAAGTTCTGTGAATTATAAACTTCTCATTCTTATCTGGAAAGAAGTATTTTAATTTGCCTTCATTCTTGCATGTCATAGGTATAGAATATGAAGTGGGAATAGTTTAGAGTTGTTGGCTGACAGCTATTTTTTCTCAACATTTTGCAACTATTATATTGTTTTGCTTTTATGGTATAATCGAGAAGTTTATTATTGTCAACCTCATTAGCACTCGTTAGGTAATGTTCCTTCCTCCTAATCCCTTTACATAATCCTTATGAAATTCCTCTTCTAAGGAACTTTTTCATTCTAACCTCTCTTTGTATTTGTGTGTGCATGCCACATATATATGTTGTATATACATATATATCAAATACACAATACACAGTAGATCCCTGAATACAGGTTTGCACTGCATGTGTTCATTTATGCACAGATTTTTTTTTTTAAATTTGTGATTCCTGCATTTTATGAGTTTGACTAACTACTGATGATGGATGTGTATACATGGAGAGTCAGCTATAAGTGATTTGAGCATCTCTGGATTTTGGTATCCCTAGGTGGGAGGAGATGGGTAGGGGAAGGGAGGTAGGAATGTTTTTGAAACCAGTCCCCCTCAGATACCAATGGATACCTCTAGTTAAGCTTTGAGGTAGTCAAAAGTTGTATGTGGACTTTTAACTCTGACCCCCTAAAACCCTTGCTTCATTTAAGTTCAGCTCTCTCTCTATATATATGTAATTTCTTTATAACATCAGATCTATTTTCTAATTCATGAATTCCCTCTCAACTATTTAATATGCACTTAAAACCCCTGATTATATTTAACTGCAAGGCCTATATTTTATGCTTCTGGAATTTCTAATTGATTCTCTTATAAATCTATCTGTATCTTTTTTAAAGTCTTTTCTTTTTTCTTTTTTAATGGCTAAGCATTTTAAATGCTCTTATAGTCTCTCTCTGACAGTTCTATCATAGGGCATTTTTCTGCTCTTTTTGCTCTTTGCTAAATTTCTTTTTTTTAATTTTTTAAAAGATTTATTTATTTATTAATACAAGAACCGGAGTATAGGCCAGATGTTTAGGAGGGTGAGAGGATTCACCAGAGACAGAGTGGGGAACAGAACAGGCAGACTGATGAAATACACTGCTGAGGGGAGCAGCGGGTGAGACAGAAGAGGTCTGCTGCACCATGTGGGGTCTCTGCAGCCAGCCGGGTTCAAACCCGCACTGCAGAGGCTGTGATACTTTCATAGCGCTCGCTCAACAGCATGAGGCACCAGGGAGGCCCTTTGCTAAATTTCTCAAGATGGATTGTTTCTTGGTGTCATTTGTAATTGTGAGTGGTGAGCGCATCTTTTATTGGCTTCATGCGGAGGCATCTTGAGAGGTTGGGATGGGGTTTTACCCCACATCTGTCCTCGATATGCTACTGCTAGGAATCAGTTGACATCCACTCCATATGGAGTTTGCAGGACCCTGTGATTTGAACACCAATCTCATATACGTGCATGTTTATGACTATAAATTCTCAAGGGAGGCTTATTTTTCCATCCTGTACCCAGACCCAGACCAAGAATTTTAGTCTTAGAGTTCAGATTATTTCTACCATTTGACTGAAAAAGTCGCTTTCAAATGATTCTAGATTTTTGTTAGAGATTCAGTTTCAACCCCCTGACTCCCTCCAGAATTCCTGAGGCTTGTCTCTCAGTGCAAAGACAAAAGCTTTACCTTTCTGAGACATAACCACTACCTGAGCTCACCCCAGTTTCTACCACCTGCTTTGATAGTCCCTGTGATTACTCTTGGGCTCTCAGTGTTTGTTCCGTTTAGTCCGATGTGGTTCCTCTTACTTTCCTGTGAACTCAACTATGGACTGGATGGTATTTATTATTGTACCTAGAATTTCCTTTTTTTTTTTTTTTTTTAGATTTTTTACTTTATTCATTTATTTATTTATTTATGTATACAAGACCTGGGGTACAGGCCAGAGGTGCAGGGAGGGTGGTGGTGAGAGGATTCACCAGAGACAGAGTGGGGGGAAGAACAGGCAAATCTACTGAAATACACTGCAGTGACAGCCACTATCTTGATAGCGCTGAGACTTTAACCCCTGCACCACCAGGGAGGCCCCATTTCCATTATTTTTGATGGGCAAATTTTCAAGATATCCATACCACAATAACCTGTAACTAGAAATCTCTTCTTGATGTTCCAGAGATATCTCAATATTGACTTGCCACAAATCATTCATGTGAGTGTCCTGAAAAAGCTGATTCTATTTCAGTGTTTCCCAACTCAATTTCATAAGCCCAGATGTCATTGTGATTCCTTCTCTTCACTGCCCAATCAATCACCAAAACTATTGATTTTTCCACTAAATGTATCATGAACCAACTGACATGTCTCCATTGCCACATTCCTGCTAAAGTGTGAGCCACCATTATCTTACCCTGAACTACTGTGACTACTTCCTAATTCTTCTTTTGAATCCATTATTTATCCTGCAGCCAACAGAAACTTTCTAAAACCATATTCTGATCAATATATTTTCCTGCTTAAAATCATTAATCATTTTTTACCTTATTCTTTAGGTAAAATAAAATGTTTTAAAATCCTTGATATGTCCTATTTTTATATGATTCATTCATTCATTCATCCCCATCATTAATTAAGCCAACAAAAATATACTGAGCAGATGTTGCTTATGGGCATGGTACTGAGAGCTGGACTTATAGTCTATATTAGTTTGCACAGTTGTGCTAGAGGCTGAAAGTTTGTGTCCCTCCCAAAAGTCATGTATTGTTCTCATCCCCAATGCAACAGTATTAGGAAGTAGGGGGCTTTTGGAAGTGATTAGATCATGAAAAAAGAACTCTCATGAATGTGTTTAGTGCCTCATAAAAATGACCCCATCGAGCTCCATTTTAGTACACATCAAAGTGACAGTTTAAGAACAAGGTGAGCTCTCACCAAACTCTGAATCTTCTGGCACACTGATCATGGATTTTCCAGTCTCCAGGTTGTAAAAAATATTAGCCACCCAGTGTATGGTACTTTGGTTATAACAGTCTGGGAGCACTAAAGCAAATAAACCATAACAAAGTGCATAGACTAGGAGGCTGAGGCAACAGAAACTTTCTTCTCCAATTCAGAGTCTCTCAGTCCATTACCAAGATTTTAGCAGAGCTGGTTTTTCTGAGGCCTCTCCACTTGACTTGCAAATGGTTTCCTTCTTTCTATGTCCTTACACAGTTTTCTCTTTGTGTGTTTCTGTGTCTAAATCTCTTCTCATAAGGACAGTCAGGCTGGCTTAGGGTTTGCCCTAATAACCACGTTTTCAAACTTATTAGCATTTTTAAATGTCCTGTCTCCAAATGCAGTGACATTCTGAGTTATTGAGGCTTAGAACTTCAATATATGAATTTAGAGGGGAGACACAACTCAGCCCTTAACACTGTGGTGAAATGAACCTCACCAACATCTCTTCTCTCAGTGTTTTCACATTGCTTTCTAGATACTTTTCTCTACACAGCGAGCTTCTCTTTCTTGCTTAGACTTTGTAAAGACTCTTCCCCTCATTTTGAATACTTCTTCCCTTGTCCCCAAACTTGCTTAGCCAAGGGCTGGATCTCAGCTTGAATGTCACTTCCTCAGAAAAACATTTCCTGACTCTGAGATTAGATTAGGTCAGTGTTTTGTGTCCTTTGCATTCTTTTTGTACCACTTCCCATAATTCTAATTAAATGATTAACTGTATAATTACTGAATTTCCTTGATCCTACAATGCTATGAGTTGTTAGATTTACCATCAATTTGAAAATATTTGTAGGGAGAGGAAAGAAATATTACTTTATTACTTGGCTATTGCTATAATAATGCTGTATAAAAAAAAAAAAAACACTCCAAAATTCAGTGGCTTAAAACAACAAGCATTTATTTTTCCCTCATGGATCTGTGAGTTGCTGCAATTTCTTTGTACAAAAGTCAACTTCATGTTCCCAAGTCCTGCTGGTTGGATCGAGGTCTACTTCCTATATATCCATAGTCTCCTTGTAATAAAGGTTATCCAGTCATTGTATTCTCATGGTGAATGATGGAAGTTCAAGGAGAGGGAACAAGCAATGCCTATTAAAACCTCAGTTCAGAACAGGCACATTATCACTTCTACTCAATTCCATTGGTGAAAGCAAGCCAGACAACAATGGGGTAGAACAGTATCCTCCTTTTAGTAGCTGGCACCGTAAAGTAACATGGGGAGAGGCCTATATGTATGACATAAAATTCTGTGATAGAAAAGAATGGAGACTAATTCAATCTACCCTAAGTACAGTAGATAATATATACTCAAATTTTTATTTTCTTTACTTGTGTTAGATTATCCATACATTTGTCTATACAAGGACATACTACTTTCTTTGTATTATGAGCAAATCTTCATTTTCCAAACCTAAAGTATCTTCTGAGTCACTTTTGGTCACCAACAGTTACATACCATATTCTAGTAGCCAGAACTTTCTATAACCAGGGTTCAGAATCCAAACCGCTTTACCTCTTGCTTAACTTTTAGGCTTACTAAAGTATACCCCATTTGATCAAATTCAGACATTCCCCTCCCCCAGATCAACTCTTTGGATAGAAAAACTTTATAAAAATCAATAAGTAATTTTTGACAAATATTTGATTGCTGAATAATTCTTCACAGTGCATGAAACTCTCTAGCTTGGAAATTCTGCAATCTGTTCTTTATGTTAACTGTAATGTCTAGTTTGTGACAGTATGCATATGTCTTAATAACAAAAGGAAACAAGGTTTTCTAATTTTGGTGTATATTTTTCCATCTTAGGGGGTCTGCAAAGGACCTCCTTCACTTATCCTAACTCTGTCATGGAGCTCTATTTCCATGCTTGTTTGTCTTTTCATAGCCAATAATTTTTATTTCAAAATAACCTTGGAATGTAATCCTTTGAAAGACATTTGAAATGACAATTAGAAA